TCAATCAATGTACTTTTGACTGTTTTTAGACGTTTTAACAGATTTCTAATCTTCAAGTCTAAAAATTGTGATCCTTGAAATGTCATTTTGTTATCAGTTTACAAATATAGCTACCTTATAATGGTTTGTTGTCATACATCAAAAACGTGGTTGTTTTTCACTATTTTAGTCAACATCCCAAGGTATATGTAAGCCTAATTTTAGATTGCAGAGACTTAGAGTGTGATGATGATTTATTTAGCTGCAAAATAAATCAAGGTACTTTAGGATCTTGAAAGATATACACTCAAAGGGTAATCACAATTCTCTTAATATTGCTATTTTTGTAAAACTGTATCGTTTACGTTCATTGGATAAATTTCTTATGATGTATCTGAAGTCTAGAGCAGTGAAATGTGCTGTGTTTCTTTAGTGTCCATACTAAGCTTCAAACACTGGTGACTAACACACCCGTAAAGTGATTATCACTGGCCACTACACAACTTGACCTGAAAGCCAATTGACCACTGGATTCATCATTTGTGGCAGCAATCGTTTCATGATAATTTTATTAATACTCATGAGTTAAACAATTATACCGTAAAAAACAGTCCACTTCTGTTTCCATATAGTCGTTTACACACTAATAAGACCTTCTACCTAGACTTATTGTATTATCAATTTCAAGGTTACCAAAAAGATGTAACTTTATAATTTAGAAAACTTATAGCTTCCTTCATTTGTTCGTGCAACTAGTGTTGGTATCAGTGAGCTGTCTGGGTCTTAATTGACCCTGCATGCCTGAGCTTTGTTGTCGTCAGACGTTTGTTATAGAAGTACATGTTCCAGAACGTTAAACCACTTAATTTACTATGTTCCACCATTCATTCATCATATCACCTAGAATTAAGCCTGCATATTTAACAGAATATCATTTCAGTAGTATATACCACTGTCATTTATCTTGAAGTTATTTTATTTTCATTTTTGTTGTCCAGTGGTTCACGCTTTCGAGTCTGAAGTTTCAGCTTTCAGAGGAAACTATGGCTCAATATCATACGATCCAGTCGCACTTACTAGCATCATTCTTGTCACAGACTGAGAATTTTAAAAACGTCTGCTTATATGCACGAATCACCCACCAAATGGTAACCAATCTGCCTATTAAGTCTTAAGTACTCAGCTCAAACCAAAGTTTATTGATCTATTCTTCGAATTCGGACTCCTAGTTAGGTGAACTGACACGTTAGAGCACTGTATTTTTGAGATACATTTAGGCAATGACTCTGCAGGAAGCCATTTATAACCTGGTTTTTTTGCTTGTTTACATTAGTCAGTAAAGTGTACCTGAAACCTTAAGGAAATTCATATTCATAATTTACACGGTAATGGCTAGCAGAGGAATCTAGGTCGCTCTTTTCGTCCCATTCTAGACTCATCAACTGAATACTCCTGCACTCAAGTGAGTGGTACTGTTCTCACTTAAACTTGAACCTCTTACTCATCGCTTCAGATGCCAAAGCGTCATCCACTAGGCCGCTGAAACAAGATCCAGCATAACAATGAAGAATTGCAAATATATCAGCAGATAGCAGTAACTCGTATTCAGTTTGAAGATTTGCGGAGATTTATTTATCTCAAGGTCGCATTTATCACGGACTGACATCAATTGGAGACGCATTGATAACATGGGAGCATTGAAGAGTTGTTTTGTATTTGTGTGGAGCCCGATGACCCCATTACCACTGGATTCCAACCTAGTGACCTGGCGGTGACGTGCTTGTGGCGAAACGTGAAGGTTCTAGGTCCGATCCCATGTGAAGACATCTGTGCACACTGCTGAGTAGTCCCATAATAAAGCAAAGCAGCTACCCAGAGCACCCAGGTTCTCAACGTTTTTTCAGCTGATGCCAGTCCGTGATATGTACCAACTTGGAACTGGTATTGCTTTTTAGACCCAAACCAGCGTCGCTCAGCACTGAAGTCACAGACGTTGATACTAAACTATTCAGGTCATGAGAAAACTCCTGTGGGATTGATGTGCATACACGATTTGGTCACCAAATGGTAATCAATGAACTTCGAAGTATAAAGCAAAGTGTTTTTCCAATGGAAAGAATCACACTATCTTGTCTCGCAGATCGTTATGATGAAAACTTAGACTAAAAGGAGTTTTGACTGATGAACACGACTGACAGAAAGTGAATAGGAAGTCATTTGCAATAGTTCTAATTTAATCTTAGCGCTTTTTGAACGTGGTTTTAAATTATTCACGCTGAACATACAGTATTGATATCTGAAAGACATAAATAATGAAGAATTATAAACGCTTCACGACTGACATTAAGACCAGTTGTGTCATGATATAGTAAGCCCTACTACCTCAGTTTTATTGTATTTCCTGTCTTACTCGTGCTACTGGAAGTGGTAAGCTGAATGAAGGAGTCCAATTGTCACGGATCATTATTTCACTTAAAATTGTTAGCATGGTTCAGTAATTCACGTATACTAGGTGAAATTTGGGTGATGAAGATACCGCACCACCACCATCAACAACAACAACAAACTCCAATCACCGTCAACGGGAGAAACTTGAAGGAAGTAACCTCCTTCACTTATCTAGGAAGCACTGTTTCAACTACAGGCGGGACGGACGAGGACGTCAAAGTCAGAATCGGAAAAGCAAGACAAGCGTTCATTAGCCTGAAACCAGTGTGGAGATCTTCTGCACTCAGCATGCGGAACAAGATACGGATTTTCAACACCAATGTCAAGTCAGTGCTCTTGTATGGTTCAGAGACTTGGCGCGTCACGAAAGGCATTTCCAATAAACTACAGACATTCATCAACAACTGCTTACGCTGGCTCGCTGCTGAAGATCAGATGGCCAGAAAAAATAAGCAACAAGGAACTCTGGGAACGAACCAACCAAGAACCTATCACGCAACAAATATGCAGGAGGAAGTGGAGATGGATTGGCCATGCACTGAGAAGGCCGACTGAGGACATCATGCGTCAGGCCAGTTGCTCGAGTGGAATCCCCATGGGAAGCGACGAGTTGGACGTCCGAGGGTGACATGGAGGAGGTCGTGCGAGGAGGAAATGAGAGGTTGTGGGCTGTCGTGGAACCAGGTTCAAAAGATCTCAGAGAACAGAGGTCACTGGAGGCGTGCAACTGAAGCCCTATGTTCCACTAGGAACCCAAGGGGCTAATAATAATAAGGTGAAATTTGGAATGATGCATTGCAACTCTCTCCTTTAAAGTGTTAATATGTTTATCATATATTGAAAGAATATTATATTTTGTCGTAAAACATTCTGCTAAGCCAACGCAATATAAGCGGGTATGCGCTTATCTCTGTCAAACTCTGAGTGAGGCTTCAGGGCTGGTCGACACCAGCCCTTAGGTTAAGGATATTGAATGAGGTAACAGAATGTGTTGACCATTCCAGATATTTAGAAAGCTGCGTTAGTTTGGATGAGCTGATAACTGATCACATCTCTACCTCAAAGGACGTTTCTGGTACACATCAACTTATGCCATCTCTAGCATCAGTAAGATAACTGCTCACCTATCAGAGGAAGAATATACTCCAAACCAGTTCACTTTATCCGCTCATATAACTGTGAGGCTTGGCTACTGAAGGTAGAAGACTGTAGGAGGTCAAAGAGTTTTGACATGAGAAGTAGAACTGCTCATGTGTGGTGGAATCACAATGTAAGAAGTTTTGAGGTTAGACCACGCAGGGAGATATAGTCTAACTGGTTGTAATTTTGGGATTGCTAGGAAGCAATGGTTCAAGACTATTGTTGATATGCATCAAAATCGGCTGCAGTGGTGCGGAAGTCTATACTTTCTGTTACCTTACATGCAGAAGGTATCCGATATCTCATCTAGATTAATGGAGTCATTAGGAGTCACTGCAGTTCATAAACCTATAAAATCTCTTCACCATCTGTTATGTAGGCCATAAGATACAGAACCGTAGGAAGACAAGCCAAAAGTTATCTACAAAGTGAACTGCAGAAATTGCGACAACCCAATATCGGAAATAGCGATTGTCTTTTAAGTATCCGTTTACATCAACATGAATCAACAGTGAAGCATCACATTCAATTCAAGAACAAGCAAAACTAAAGTTTTGTATCAACTTGTCTCTTGTATTTTCACCTAAGCCAAAGAAAGATTCTGTAGCTCGTTTCATGAAAATCAACAGCTAAGGGCTGGAAACCATTATTTCAAACCTAGCGATAATTTCACCTTAATTTTGATCGCACCCAGATGTTTTAGAAGAAGACTGTTCACTTATATCAAAACTTTTTTCATTATGAGACGTGACGGCTCTGGGTTCGAACCACCATAGTGTCATGTGCTCATCCTTGAGGAGTCCCAAAATAGAACCAATCAGCTGTTAAGTGTTCCCTGGTTTTAAAAACTTCTCTAGCTAGTGTATATTCGAAATTCAAGCAGAGAGTTATTCTTCAAAATCCTTTCTTTGTCATGGAACAGCTGATTAATCAAGTAACAAATATAATGTATCACATATAAAAGATGGTCGGTGTTACTCCTTTATTTATTCATTAAAATAAGGTAGATTTTACTCTGAAACAGTTTCCATTTGTCCACCGTCTCTAATAATCACAACGAAGAGACACATAAATAATGAAGGATATCATAATAGTTCATCAAAGGGCTACTAACCACATATAAAGGCAAGTATAAGAGAATATGTTGTGTAGCCTTTCTCGATAACAGCAGTTTAAAACTATCGCACATAATGATTGACAGGTTGCGATGACAGCAGGTAAGAATCCGTGAAAGGTGGAGGCAAGGGTATTAGTCTTCGTAGTTATGGAATTGGTGGGTAGAAGTGGGAGATGAAGGTGGACAGAGGAGTAGTGGTATAAAGAAAAGGAACAGGAACGGCAACCGAAATGTAGACAAATTTAGAAAGTGAGTCTGATCACTTTATAGACACCATCTTTTTGGATGGGAAACATATATTTATAAAATTAAAAAATTAGAAAGTTTTTTCTGTGGAGCTGTAGTTCTTTTCAAACTCTTTCGCATCATCTGGATTGCGTAGATAAGTTGTTGAACTGACAGTTTCATTCTTTTTGGCTATTTTGTATGTGTTCATTACTCCAAATCCAAGGTAAAGTATTAAACCTAATACAGGATATTGAGAAAAACCGGCTAAAAAGTTAGGATAATTCTTCGTATTGGGTGTGCAATACGGTTAACGTCACTTAAGCAACACTTTGGTTTAAAAAGAAAATTTAATTTCACGATGAAATATGACATATTGTAGTTGAATACGGTTTTCAGGTTTTTACCACTAGTGTGTTGAACTATCCAAATGCTTTATGAGTAAGTAAATGACAGTGGTGGTCATTAGGTAACTAGTCTGACACCATGGTAAGGATTGACATAATTTGCTCAACTCACTTATTTCGTGTTTGACACGAGCAACTACATTCCCAGTGATTTTATTTCAACAAATAAAGGCTGAAACCAATGGAGGCTATGTAATGAATAAGATGACTACCGTTCTGGTTGGTCACTAAGCTAATAGGAAGAGTTATATCAGAGAAATACATTGGTTTAAATTCTGTAGGAAACGAAAACTTCCTGTACTTTTCAGTATGAATTTATGTTATTACACATTACTTCATACAGTTAGACATTTTGCTTACAAGACACTGCACAAAAATAACTAACTTACCGATCACTAACCAGACTGTAAATCGTATCCATGTAACCCATGATAGTTCACTCATCAAAAATATGTTTATGGTTAGGGTTGCACAAGGGATCAGAGGGACATATGGGATCTGTAATATAAAGGAGAATAACTCATGTCAAAATTATGCAAACCTGAAAAAACATCAAATTCCCTTCTCTATTCAGTGCTACAAATTTATGATGTTAATACCCAGCTGTTCAGGTATAGTAACAACGAACGTTACACTTGAAGCATAAGTCAAATTTAGTACAACAGCTATTTCAGAATAGATGAAATGATTCTTTCACCACTGTTTTTCTTGCTTTATTCTAGTCTGTAAACACAAACATTAACTACAGGCTTGAGTTTTTTTAATCTGTCGTTTAAACTTGATCTAAACAATAGTACTTTTACGCTTAACTTCGATAAAGTGCCTTATGGATAACTATATGTTAAACTGATTGAGAAAGTAGGTCATCTTATTGACCACTGTGATTGATTTTTTCGACGTGGTTGTTAGCGAAAATACCTAGCCAGTTGTGAAGTTTTACAGAAGAGACTGTTGGGTGGTTAAATAACTATTCATTTGTGGTATATACAACGATATATTCATGTTACTGATAATTGCTAGCATTCGTACCTATGAACCCTTCAATCTGATTATTTAGGCGGTTAGTTGTAGTGGTAAGGGGATTATTCCCTCTAATTGATGGTGTACAGTAGTTCAGTGAGGATTTGGTTAAACATATACAGAATTCTGCCCTTTTTGAACATACTGTTTTAAATTTTTAAGGCAACTGATAGACAGCAAGGTTTTTCTATAATGATGAGGAAACTGACATTACCTGAGGGATTTCAATTTGCTTCACTCAGTTCTGACTTTATAGATGTAATCAATAAGCTATTCAAGTAACACCAGAGCTACATTCATGAAGCAGAATGTACTTCACAAGCTCGCGTATCATGCTGGTAGCTTCAGACCGTAATATGGAATCCACAGGCTAAACTGATACTAGTTATAAATAGCTGAACATCTCTAAGCTAGTTAGTCAGTTCCACCGGTGAAATAAAGGAGAAATGAGTGATAAATTGTGGTTATAGTTATTTTGAAACAGACCTTTCAGTGGTATCGTTTAACGGATTCGTCTCATAAAGTTATTATTCTGTATGCCAGTTGAATTTGGCTTCAGGAAAAACAAATCATGTGGGGATCTAATTGCAATGCTGCGCTACGCATCATCATAGAGCAGAACATAGAATATCAGTCGACTGGATCTTTACCTAAACTTAGTCGATTTTGAAAAGGCCTTTGCCAGCGTCGACCGACAAGTAATTTGAAAACTGCTTCAACACTACGGTTTCAGTGCCACAAACCTTCAAAACCTCATTCAACAGCTGTATGACGACGTCATATGCCAAGTGATTCACAATGGAAACTTCAGTGGCGCCTTTCAAGTGGAAGTGAAGACAGGAGTAAGACAAGGCTGCCACCTACTATCACCGATCATCTTCCTGACTGTGATCGACTGGACTGCATCATGCAAAAAACTGTGAGCAGAGAGAAGAGGGGCATACGCTGTTCAACAGATGCAAAGATCCTAGGAGATTTGCATTTCGCCACCGATGATTATTTGTGTCTAATGTCTTGTCCCACAAACTCGAATATCTACAGGCAAAAATCAATAAGTTGACAGAAGAGGCAAAGCAGCGAAGACGGAAATTCCTTCAGGTAGTGGCGACGGCGGCGGTACAGATGAGAATGTGAAAGCAGCCAGGATCGGAAAGACAGAAAGATAGGCCTTCATTAGTCGGAAACCAGAGTGGAGTTCTACTGCACTCCACTCAGCGTAAAGCATGAACAAGATCCCCATTTTCAACATTAATTCAGTCAAGTCAGTCAGTGTTTCTATGTGATGGCTCAGAGAATTATCGGGGCGTTACCAAAAGCATTTACAACAAACTACAGACATACATGAACAGCTGCCGCCTACGATCACTCGATACTGACACTGAAGATCAGATGGATTGCCAGAATAATAAGAATAAGGAAGAAGGAACTGTGGCTGGCTGGCTGGCTGGCTGGCAACGAACCAATCAACAACCCATCGTCCAACAAATATGCAGGGAAGAGTGGAGGTGGATTAGATTGGGCATACACTGAGAAGGCCATTTGGGGACATCACGTGCCAGTCCAGGCCCTTGAATGAAACTCAAGTAGGAAACGACAAGATGGGCGTCCAAGACGATGGTAACATAGAGGAGATGGTGTGAGGAAGAAATAAAAGCCTGTGGGGAGTGGTGGAGTCAGGTTTTGAAGACTATAGAGAAGAAGGTGCAGTGGAGACATGCTACTGAAGCTCTATATTCTATTAGGAACCCAAGGGACAGATAAATAATAATAAATAATGCCAGTCGAATTTAGTGGACTGGAATGGACTGATTAGTTGTTCTGGAAGTGATGAATTGGTTTGTTTACTACCTGTCTGTTATTGCAGACGGTTTTCCAAGGTTATATGGTAACCGGTAGTGGATTTCTTTTGAAGAATATGGTCCAAAATTCCATATAGTCATTCTGAGTTTTAGTTAAAATCAATCAATCCTATCTATCAACATTGTAGTTGGTTGTCGGTTAAAGGTCTACACTGGTTAATCAGGGAATTTAGCTCAAATTAATGGAAAAATCTCCTTGAATAAATGCTCTTTAATAGCTAAAATTGTTCTTGAAAATGAGAATGAGAGAAAAACTGTGTCAGTGTAACAGTTCAGAGAAACGCTACTTCCGGTTTACACTAGGAAGTAATAACCTGATTACAATGCTAATAAAAAGACTGCTTGAGTTGCTTTCAGCGTTTCTGATAAATAGTTTACTGTTTCAGTTTGCTGCATATCTCTTTACCAAGACTGTAAGCAAGTAGAAAAGTTAGATTCATAGCCTCTTATTAGTTCGCTTTAGCATCTACCTAGAAGTAAATTACACGACTAGAGTAACTAACGGACTGCATAGATTAGGTAACTAAAACATGAAATTATGCAACATCAGATGATCCATTTAAATATTTATCATGATCATATAATGATGAAAATTTGCAGTGAAAATAACTTAACGGTTAATATGCGCTAAAGTTAGGTAGATGTGTCAAGCAGAAAAACGAACAAAACAACGTAGAACTTTACACATAAGTGTTTTGGTTCAAGTTGCCATAATTCAGGACAGAATGTAAAGAACATGTAGATAAAAATACGATGATAATAAAGTAAGTTAAGGTGTGCTGACATTTTATTGTTCCATTCACAATTCACAAGGAACAGTTCTTTCAGGGATGTAAAAGCAATGTATCTAATACCTCATTACTAGTGAACTTGAATAGTCCTGAAAACATCAGTTGCAACTATGTCAAAATGGTAAAACGTCAGAAAGTGGACAAATAAATAGATAAATTAGTATGTTCAAAGTCAAGGTCGCTTTAACTCATTAGAGTTTTCATCTATAAGACAACTTGTGGGAGAATGTGTCCATCTGTTCCTCAGTGCATGATTGGCATAATCTTCGAGAAACTGCACATGTCTCATTTAGGTGCCCTAACCGCTTTCAAAATGGTTTCTGATAGGTTTGTATGGCCCAATATGAACCAAGATACAAAGCTGTGTTTAGAAAGTTGCCTGCACTGCAAAATAGCGTAGATCAAAAGAAACCTGCCTGCACCATTATGCGTATTTTTCAACGCTTGAGGCCAGATTTAATGACATACATGTTAGCAAACAATAGAATTCTAATTTTGGAGCACATTCTACTCTCATGATGGACAGTTGCTGATGATTCAAAATTTGTCTTTTACGACAGCCAACGAAAACAGCATATAGCTCAGATCCCAACCATAAAGTGGAATCGTCCCACCGGCAACTTAAAGCCCCTCTGATTTCCATTGAAAGTGGTATTAATTGGATGTAACAAGTACCCATTTCTTCTGAGAATTCAGACCGCAATCAAACATAACATTGATTGTTGTGTAGCAGAATTAGCTTAGGAAACTCCGTTGCGCTTGCTCAGGAAATACTTTATCAGGCAACTAAAGTTGCATTTGATACAACTAATTATTTCTGGTAGTCCAAGAGGTACATGAGTGACCTGAGACAAATACCCGAAAAACAGTAGAAATGTAGAATTCTTATTCCTAATGAACTTTGTGAGTGTACACATGTTTTCATCAGACTCGATGTTGTTTGCAAACAGCTCCAACCACCTTACGATGGCTCATTTAAAGTACTCAGCAGAACGGACAACATGCTTGCCATGGAGAAGCTCGCAAAACTTGAACATATTGATGTGGATAGAATAAAAAAATGTCCTTGAAAGTGAAGCAAGAGCAGAAAATGAAATGCAAGGTTTTGTTATCATCTAATGAAAGTGTCAGCACAGATGAACTGAAAAATAAACAATGCAAAGACCATCTGACTTTGAAAGATTAGAAAGACCTGGTAGAAAAGTTCATCAGCCCAAAAGACATTTAAAAACCATGTTATTTTTTCAATTTGCTGTATTATTCACTTTCTTTTTAACTACTGAATCTTGGAGTAATCACAGTAGGTTCATTGTTGCAAGTCATACATTGATAATTTTGCAAACCTGTCCTGCGTATACATTTGTAAACATCGATCCCACAATATACACATCCAAGATTTTGTCAACCAGTTAGTTTCCTAATTAATCAAGAAATCTTATATATATTGTGTTAAATTACTCGTCTGTAGACAGATTTTTCTCCATTTCATTTCCGAAAGCAAACGTCCTGTGTCATATGCATGTTCCAGGGCCAGACAACCGTTGATACTGCATACTGTATGAACTTTTTTATTCGACATCAGCGTTTTAAATGTAGGTTTGTTCGTTTGCAATATTTGGATGATACTTGAAATGTTGTGACATTTGAATTGCACTGTGCAGGGAATATGTTCTCCACTCTGTTGACCTACGAATTTTGTTTGTAAGTTGTCTGACTCTGGTGGATCAGCAACGCTGGGAGTTTTAAAAATATGTAAAGTACTCGAGCTAGTATGTGGATACTTGGAGTCAGGTGCACATATGCAGTAAGTATACCGAAGTACAGGATATTCAAAACACAAAGACTTGTGAAAACATTCAGTCTTTTGAAGCTATCATAGAACGAATAAATCAACACTACTGCAAACCGGTTTTTAGGCATACCATCAAGAGTCATCGAGAACCCTAAACAGTTAGCTTACACCTCCTTACACGACTCATACTAATGTTCAAGAATTTTGTGGAGTGATTCCATATTTGATTTGATCACCAATAACGTTCCTCCAATCCAGTCCTATTGCACCTAATATCATATATCGAGGTAGGGGTGGCTCGGAATACGCGACACTCGCTCAAGGCTTCTCAGCCTCTGAAGATTCACAACCTCATTGACCAACTTGCCCATCCTAATTAGAACCCTTCACCAGCTTCAGCATACTTTACCATGATTATTCCATCATATTTGACCAATGCTAGGAAGACATCTGCGGCCAAAAACCTGTTATCTCTTCTTGTCCTCTACTTTCAATAACCGAGTTTCACAGCCATATAATAGGAGAGAGCAGAACGTTGTAGACTTCGCTCGGCTTTCATTAGATGGTCGGATATCTCACAGGCTCCAGAGGTAGTGTAAGTTGACAAATATAAAGGGGGTTTTACATTGGAGTTGAGATTTTGCCAACGAACTAACCCATTTCTGACAAAGTAACCTTCTAAGTAAATGACACTGCCAGTGCACTCTACCAGTTTCCTATCCTCAAGCTAGAAGTCAGTTCAGATCGGTTCTGAATCATAATGAAAAACTGAGATGTGCAAAACGCTTGCCAAAAATACTTAGGTTTCTACACGAAGCGTTTAGAAGACTCTAGATTTTGTCAGCACCTTCACCTAACAGGAATATGTCGTCTGCGTAATCCAAGCTAACGAGGTGACATCTAGAGAGTAAGTCAATCCTTGAGATCATTAAAAAGTTGAGGAGTGATCGTGGGTAGTATCAGTTGTCGTTATTTCCAACGATAGCTCTCTATAAGGTGGTTGGTGATTTTGAGTAAAGAGCCTTGATCAACAAAATAAACGTGGTTGGTACTCTGTTTCTAGCCAGATACAGATGCTACACCCATCGGTCGGCAGAGTAGAATAGAACCTTCACGTCAATAGGTAGAGAACATGTTGATTACTGGTAAGTATAACTGTGGTCCAAAACCCGTTGAAGAGTAAAAATCTGATCGATGCACTCCCATCTGAGTGTGAAATCCACCTGGTTTTCCTGAGTTCGTTATTCAAGGGTTCCATTTAGGCATCTACATTCCATTCAGACGAGACCTGATGCTGGAAGCGTTGCAGTGTACCAATTGAACCGTGCTTCTAATCCTCCTAACCTGTATTCCAGCCGTTTGTCGTTAGAGCTTATCAGGGTCTCATCGTTTTCGGTAATGGTCTCACTGACAGTCACCTTTTTGTCATTATACTTAGTTAGGTTAAGCCTAGAATTACACAATGCTGATACCTTCTCCATCTCTATCGGTTTTACCACTCACCACTGCTAAGGGTCATCGGAGAGATTTTAGTTAACTTACATTTATGCTACTTTTTCTCCTCATTGTGATCAGAGGTAGCTTGGTTGAGTCTTCCTACATCAGTGCGTTTGGATGCGGTCTCACAAATTCACTGGCTTTTACTAACCAACTATCTTTTCAATGTTTCTACAACAGGCTGAATATTTCAGCAAGAGAATAACTACTATGTTCAAATAAGTGTTTAGTTATTTTCACTTTTAGCACAAACTTGACATTAGTCGCACTTTCATCAGTTGCGCAAATACCATAGATTGATCTTTTAGGAACATTCAGAATGGAATAGTTGTTAAACATTTAAATAATACTTCTCATTTTCATGAGTGACAATAACGGCCATCATAATAGCATATCTTCAAGAGATTATAGTATGTGCAATAGAATTTCTGGATGACGACAGGTTCCTGTAGATTCAAAAAGTTAGAACAAACAGCAAGTAGTTGACTGAATAATAAAGCTTTATAAACTTACTCGAAATAAACCTTTATAAGGTGGTCCAAATTGTTGAAAAATCCCGACTAATATTATACAGGTTATTAGTAATAGAAGGATAATAACTACACAGACAATTCTCCATACTGGCCATAAGCCATTTTTCACTCCAATTGTTAAACACATGATGAGAACACCATTTAATATTACGTAAGCAGCCATTACAAAGATAACCTTGTCTCCAGGTAGGCCAGAATTGAAAACTTTCAACAGGCAGTTAGGCATACAACGACCATAAGCATGCTTAACAAATCCTGGTTTACCAATTCGCTTTTTGTAGTACTCAATTTCCTTAATCGACTTGAAAAGAAAGAAGAAAAAAAGAGCAAGCATGTTCAACCTTTAATAATTACCTTCATTTTAGTAGGTAACAAACAGTGTTTGTCACAGTACATTTTAGTGTGTTTACTTTTTCATATTTGAGTTGAGTATCACTTCCAAATTTGTAAGCAGTTTGAGTTTAAGTGTATCTTAACATACTTATTGGGCTCTAGATCAAGTGAGCTTTTCTGTGTTGTCTACCTTAAAAATTATTTTGCTTATCGTAGGACCATCATCTTCGGATGCTGACCGAATGTAAGTGAAAACGCTCTGGAACACTACAATTCACCTTTTTGAGCTATTTCATTCTGATTGACAGTGGCATTTGGGTTTCGTGTTCTATTTAGCCCAAAATTCGTCAACTGGATGTTCATGACTAATAGTAGTAGTTTTACAAGTGATGAATACTGGGTCCATACTTGGTGGGAAATATTTGGATAAAGAGCTATGTGCAGGACAAAACATTCATCTGTGATTTCACTAACACTAAAGTGTAACTGTCATAAATTAGTTCATAACACTGAATTAGTTTATGATGAAACCCGTATACCGTCATGGATAGATCAATAGGCAAATTAGGTCATAGACACTGGAAACAAGGACTACCTTCTTAGAACTATGTGGTCAGCTTCATGTCTCTTTCTTCTTCATGCATAATAATATTCAAAAAATATAAGATTCCATTATGCTATTTAGTTTGCTAATTTTGCTTGAAGGTTTGCAAAATGTGAGTCAGCATGCAATACTAATTCTTTACTATCAGAAACCTGAGTTTGTATCAGTCTAGTAGTCAATAAAGTAGGCTTGAGATAGTGGCAGCATAAATGCATTTATCAAACACACTCACTTAAGATGGGACAAATTTATGTATATCATGTTAACAGAATCCCAAAGACTATGGATCTAACTCTTGTAACGACTCAGGTTCTCACTTCAGTATAAGTTTTCACCCTTACCGCATGAAAGTGAATTTTGCAAATCATGGCTATCTCATAAAGGCTAACCGTCAGCTCCGGTTTCACAATGTGGAGGATTTTGTGTCTTTGAGTTTTGTACTAAAATAAGTCAGATATGAGTAGAACTCGAGGGCCGTATCAGGTTGTAATTCCATACCACACAGTCATCCGCGTTCACAGACATCTCTTACAGATCATACACCTCCGCAGAAATTAGGAGAGTGTTCAGCATATCCAGTATCGGAGTATTCTACAGAGAATCAAACACACTACAGAGCACATTAGTCTATTTGAAGGACGAGATCCCTCTGGACTCACAAACGCAATATGTTGATAAAATAAAATGATCAGACTGCGATTCAGAATACAAAGGACAAACTTCCTGTGAATCCAAAATTAGAAAAAATGAACACCGAAGAACTACCAAATCACCCCCTAGAAATCCAGTAGAGCAGAAAAACTTGGAAACACTTTAGCTCTAAACGCTGTAATTTCAGTATCAAAATTATTCAGAAAGGCTTAAGAAATAATAAAGAACATCTCATAGCAGAATATCTTTACATAAAATGGAATCAAAATTGTCTGAATAGGAATGAGGGACTAAGACGTGTTTTGATCTGGTCTCAATCCACCCACCTACATACATACCAGAAGAACAGACAACATATGCACATACAAATCTCAATCGGTAACTCATGCACTCTTCACACAATGCATTACATATGGATATCCTCTTTGTTGAAGATTTTTACGACGTAGAATCATTCATACAGAAGAACACTTATCAAATTACCATAAGTTTGGATATTGTAAACTCCGGTTTATTATAACTTTGATAAAGCTATCAGCATTAAGTATAGTGAGATGTCAACCTCGCCTGGTTAACTAGTTCGCTAGTTACTAGCTGGTCCTAAGCCCGGGTAAAATGGGAAGGTTTAGCATAGGGCTAGCAACCCTACCCCGTAAAACCAATCCACCCGCTGCAGAAACTTCAAAGCATAGACAAAATATAAAAAATAAAAACAAACTTATTCCTCACTGCAATCAGAAGGACGAAATGACTCCGGTTGGTGAAAGCCTTCAGGAAGCTTATTGGCTAATGTGTCTTCTCTTCTCTCGATCAAAGCGAAAGTAAACATGGGGACATGGAATGTCCACACCATGCATGAACCTACCAAGGCTGCACATATTGCAAAAGAGATGAAAAGGTATGGCATACAATTACTAGGCTAGCAATCTACGAGAAACCTGCTGATGGAATAGAAGTGGACTCTCCAAACTCTCAACTGGAGAGGAGTCAATCATCTACTCCAACATTGTCACCCAGACGACAACCACGAGCACACCACACTGAGTTTTCAAGTGGTTATCATAATGTCTCCAACAGTATCGAAGAATCTCACACAGTGGGAACTAATCTCCTCCTCCAACATCAGGATCATGACACCAAGATTCAAGTCAAAAGGAAGGGAAGTCGCGATCATTCAATGCTACGCGCCAAAAAATAATGCAGATGAAGAGCAGAAGGAGGAATTCTACAGACAACTGCAATCAGTACTAGACAAAACTCGAGTTTGCGACATCGAAATTCATTTTAATGGGTGACATGAATGCCAAACTCGGAGCCGAGAACACAGGAAGACAACTCATCATGGGTCGAGAAGTACTCGGTCAAATGATATGTGAGAATGGAGAACTCTTTGCAGACTTCTTTCTGCACATCCAACGATCTGGTGATTGGAGACAGTGTGTTCAGGCACAAGGATATCCCCAGAGCGACATGGATTTCACCAGATAGCAGGGCACACGAAAAATCAGATTGACTTAATCTCAGTCTCACGCAAGTGGAGACGCAGCCTACTTGACACAAGGGCAAGAAGGGGAGCAGATGTAGGTTCAGACCACTCACTGTCTAGTTCAAGGAACCTTCAAAACCAAGTTGAAAGCCTTCAAGGAAGTTGGTGATAGACCACAGTTCAAGTTCAACACCCAGAACAGAGACTGAAGGACGAAACTAGAAAGGACATCTTCCCGTCAGCCAGTCATCAGGACAAGATGGGAGATATCGAGCAGCATCCCTGAAGAAACCTGTGTGGATGAACACTGGAAGTCTTTGAAAGCTATGTGGAAAGAAACCTGCATAACCGTATTAGGAAGGAAGAAGAAAGAAGATAAGGAATGGATCTCGATGGACACATGGAAGCTGATAGGGCAGTGAGAGGAGGATGGTGAAGTAGAAGATGAACCAGTGCAAGGATGAACGACGGGAAGAGAAACTGAGTACAACGTACAAAACACTGGACAAAGAAATGAAGAAGAGTGCTCGCAAAGACAAAAGACACTTCTGCGACACACTGGCAAGTGAGGCAGAACAGGCTGACGGCTGGTTCGAGAGATCTGACAACATTGTATCAAATAACCAGGTTACTATCTGGGAGGGAAGAGATCAACACAGATGAAACCAATAAAAGATGATGACGGAAATTTAATTGCCAAAGAGGAACAAAGGAAGCGATGGGCCAACTACTTCGAAAAGCTCTTGAGTCGACCACCACCTGCAACTCATCCAGAAATAGCACCTACAGCTACAGAACTACAAGTGAACACAAATCCTCCAACAAAAGTCAAAGTCCTGAAAAGTACCTGCTGATCGACTGGAAGAAGGGCTACCTTGTCAAACCCCCAAAGAAGAGAGAACTAAGTCTTTGCAAGAACTGGAGAGAAATCATGCTCCTATCCACCCCAAGCAAAATATTAAGCCGCATCATCCTAGAGAGACTAAACAGTGCGCTGGATTCAAAATTACGACCAAAACAGGCTGGATTCAGACAGAATAAATCATGTGGGGATCAAATTGTAACGCTACGCTCCGAATCATCATAGAACAGAGCATAGAATGGCAGTCACCTCACTACGTAGTGCCGTAAACCTTGATTAACGTCATTCAACAACTATATGATGACGCCACATGCCAAGTGATTCACAATGGAAAGCTCGGTGATGCCTTTGAAGTGAAGATAGGAAGGAGTAAGACAAAGCTGCCACCTACTGTCACCCATGACCTTTCTGATTGTGGTCGACTGGATCATGCAGGAAAACAGTGAGGAGCGAGATGGGCATACGCTGGCTGGACCCATGAAAATAGCCTGGAAGATTTGGATTTCACAACAGCATCAACAACAAGAGGCATCAATCACTATAAACGGGAGAAACCGGAAGGTAGTAGTCTCTTTCACCTACTTACCCACCTACCTAGGCAGCATCGTTTGAACTATAGGTGGTGGCACAGTTGAGGGCGTCATGGCCAGGATCAGGAAAGCAAGACAGGCTTTCATTAATCTGAAATCAGTGTGGAGATCTACTGCACTCCACTCAGCATAAAGCATGAACATGATCCGAATTTTCAACACCAACATCAGTCAAGTCAGTGCTTCTATGTGATGTTTCAGAGACTTGGTGTGTCACAAAAAGCATTTCTAACAAACTGCACACAAAAATCATCAACAGCTGACACCCACGCTCACTCGATACTGACACTGAAGATCAGATGGATTGCCAGAATAATAAGAATAAGCAACAAGGAACTCTAGTCGGGTAACGAACCAACCAAGAACCTGTGGCTCAACAAATATTCAGAAGGAAGTGGAGGTGGGTTGAGCATGCTTTGAGAAGACCATTCAGGGACTTCATGCGCCAGGCCAGTCACTTGAGTGTAACCCAGATGGGAAGTGACGAGTTGGGCTACTGAGCTGAGGGTGGCATGGAGGAGATCGTGCGAGGAAGAAATGAGAGCTTGTGGGCATTCGTGGAGCCATGTTCAAAAGACTACAGAGAACAGAGTGGAATTCAAACGCTTTACTGAAGCCCTATGTTCCATTAGAAACCCAGGGGACAAATCATGATAATAATAATAATAATAATAATAATAATAACAATAATAATAATAATAATAGTGAGATGTCATTTAAAGAAAATTCGTATAATTTTCCATTGCTATATAGGACCGGATCGCATGACCTACGTTAGGAGATGGGTTCCTATATGAATGCCTTGATACTGCCGGATGCTCATGATGTTATGTCGATCTTGGTGGCTGGTAGACGAATCCAGGTTGCACGTTTTATTCTGTTTGGGACTCGTCAGTTAGATGTTCCTGTACTTCAGTGAGTGATGTTATTCCTACTGAAGTTACAAGTATTATTACAACAACTGATTTCCTCTGCACAAGATGTGACTATCTTCCGCCAGTGGCTTAGTTGATAACCATGTGACGTTTGAAGGGATGGGTACCAGGTTTGAGCCCCAGCGGAAACAACATCACCCACTGGGGTGCAGACAGATCCAGCTGATGAGTCCCAAATAGGATGAAATGCGCATGTTGAATTCCTCTGCTAGCCACAATCACGTAAATAATACCGAACTTAGCTTCAGAGTTGAATTCATCGAGGAACATTTAATGTGATAATAAAGTGTTTTTGAATACACAAAGGTGGTTTGAACTTTCTAACAGCAATGACCGTCAAAAATGTTAGGATCTGTCCACAACATGCTGAATGACTTTAAAGACCACACTATCAACAACTCAAATAACCAATGAGGTTACTGTATTTTGAATAAAAAGGCAGACTTTCATAAAACAGAGAAATCTGACTGATTATTTTAACTGTTGCTAAGGTGGCCTTCAGAGTCGCTCAACACTTTTTGTAAATAGGTCTAAGGGAATTAGCTACATCAATCCTGTGACCTATCTTAACGATATGTTTCATGATTGAAGAACTTAGACGTCTGCTACCAACGTTTATTCATAAAAAGTAAAATTATTTTATTTGTAAACCATGCCCTTAAAATTGAACATTTATTCTTCAGCATAGTAGTCGATGGTTGTATCAGTATAAACTGAAAGTCATAAGAGGAAGCTGTACATGGGACTCCTCAAGAAGACGTCTATTTGGAGTCTAGAGCATTCAAGCTGATGGGGGTACGTATCTTCCATGCAAAGGGTAAGTGGTATCTCAGGGATTGTGCAATAAAATTATTCAATTTTGTGCAGGTTATTAGTGGATAGCTAATAGATAATTAGTTACCTGTGGTTCACTTTGATCAATCTCACTTATTTCTTGTGGATTATCCGGTTGATTTCTGTAGCGTATACAGATGATAGCCAATGCAGTAACTGAATAAGCAATCAAGGTGCCTAAACTTAGAAAATCAGCCAAACTGTCCACGCTAAATATCAGAGTCAATAAGGAGGTCAAAATGGTGATGAATGTTGCAGAAACAACTGGCGTCTGAAAAGATAATCATGTAAAAGGGAATCAACACAATAATAGTTTTTGTTAGACTTAAGTAGTGAAGTAAATATGAAAAGCCAATTTACTATTTATTGAAAGTTATGACTTTACGCTACCGTGAGTAGTTCCCAGCATCTACTCAATGCTGCATAGTTGTCCACACTTGGTTATCTGTGGTCATCTCATGACCAGAAGTTGACGTGTTCCTCAGAAACCGCTTAGATGGATAATAATTCAAGGCCATCTAGTGATTTCCTTGCGTATAGACTTTCAAGAGTTTTAATGCACAGCAATAATCCGCAGAAACAACAGTGGTGAGGATGGTTTTCTTTTTAATTGGTGTACGATGATCCCATCATGTTATAAACTGACAATACTGTGGTACTGTAGCCGAGTGAATTCCAACTCAGTGGCTAGTTGGTAATTTTCCATTCTCAAGTCTTCACATTTCAAGGACTCATTCAGTTCAAAGTGTGCAGTACGAAGATTCAGAGTTAGGTACAGACGAATTCGCAACACTGTCTGGTTAGATCTCCTTAGATCTGTTGTATTGAAGATGAAATTAATAATAATATTCAGCATATTATATGAGTTTAGATACATGAAATTTAAAACTGTGAGGCAAATAAAAGTCATCGCTTCACTAAATTCTTCTCGATGATACTTAAAGGATTTGGATACATCTTTACTGACCTATTTCCGATGTTCCATTTAACAATTAGATCAATTAAAATCTGATATTTCGGATCAAACTGGTGATAAGGATGAAAATTAATTCAGTAACTCTACATACTCATTATAAAGATTGTGTGGAAGAAATGAAGCGGTTTACCAAGTCACTTATTAGTTAGAAAACAGTTTCCACTGTGATAGAACAGCGTCTGAAGAGCAACTGGGATCAAGCAGAACTCAAAAGTCCTCCGTCGTAGTATGGGGCTTTCGGGCAGGTACTGTCGCATAGTCAAGTTAGGAACAATCGCTCCTCAGCACTTTTAGTTTTCAGCTGTTATCTATTCAACATTCAATTGTGACAAAATATGTTCAAAAAACGTAAGTAAGTATCATCAGTTATTTTAGACGTTTTGTGATAGAGGATGAATACATTCAATGTATACATCAACATTACTTCGGCTGGTAAATTTGCAAGGGTTATGAATTACAAAGAAAACTCTTTTATTCCTAATATAAAGTGTTGACTACTAAAAACTTTAAAAAGGATCAAACAATTGATTTATTAGATACATTTACAGTGAAACAGTAATATTTACTGGATAAATTATTATGATCAATATATATCATAAACCAATTGTAGTACCCAGTGTTTACTCCTCAGTAAATGGATTATTTCTGCGGTTATCTAAGGGTTTTAGTTCTGACTATCGCTCCAGTATTATGACTTCTTGCTTAACACCGCTGAAATAGTTTACTGTGATAGTTTAACTAATATATTTCTCCATAAATTCTCTGTTTTCCATGCTGAAAATACTAGAGACAACTTGATATTGGGGTAAAATTTAGGTACTGAAGTAGAAGTTGTATGACTAGGTTGAGGTGCTTATCGGCAATTATTTGAGCTAAAAGTGTTATCCAACAAATGTTACTGTATCATAGTTTTAAGCATCGAGTGGCCAAGTCCATATTGCAAAGACTTGATTTGTGTCCCTTCAGAAGGATGATGATGCCCCAAGTCACTTCTTTTAATAAGTATTTTTTTATCTGAAGGTTAATGGAGATTTAATAACTGAATTTAGGTTGAAATTCATCATGAGTTAGAGTAACACTGGAAACCTAGGAGCACTGGACAACTGTTTCTATCAAGTTTGGGACTCCTCAGGAGTGCGCATCCATGACCCCATGAGAGGTTGAACCCATGACTATCAGGTGCCGTGGCCAACCTAAAATCAGTTAACAAATCTCCACAAACCTCCAGATGGAATTAATCTAGCGCTCACTAGTGACTGGTTTAGCGAGGTGATTCCTGAAGTTTCAGTGAGAAGTCGTGAACAGTGGAGTCAACCAAGTCGAACATGAGGACAGTTACTCAATGACGATATTGGTTGTAAGTCGCGCTATATCGTGAACTGACAGCAGTAGGAAATATAGACTACTGAGCTCCGACCCACTGGGGCAGTGGTAACGTGCTGGCCATGGAACCTGGAGGTTTTGCGTTCGATCCTTGGTGGGGTCGTGGGTGCGCACTCCTGAGAGGCCCGATACTAGGACGAAACAGCTGTCCAGTGCTCGCAGATTTACAATGTTCCTCCAACCGATATCAGTCCATGATGAATTCCAACCTAAAATACTTTTTGTTAAGCGTAATTCTACGTAAACTTTGAACGTAACAATAGATAGATCTGACTAATAAATACTTAAACTTTGCATTCCATTGTTGTCAGTTGTCAGACACATTCAGAAAATTACTCATCCAGCCGGTTTTATGAAGTTAATGGACAGAATAACCTCTTATTTCCATTTCTGTCTGCTAACACATTGAGATTTTCCCCATCATATATCATCATTTATTAGAAGGCCTAACTGTCGAACTCAAGATATACTGGTTTCTCAGTAAGGTAGAAAATAAGGAGAACTTTATGAGAGGGAAACCTATAAACGATGATGCCCACTGAGGTCAACATGGAAAGCTGTGTTCATGCGTATATATATATATATATATATATATATATATATATATATATATATATATATATATATATTGGGAGTTTGATGATCTTCTGTAAACTGAATACTCATGAACAAAGCTTTCGATGTTGAACTGAGTTAGCATCATCGTGGGTACATTTTCAAGGAACACAACATAATTTGAAAAGTCACAGCTCAGATGTGTTTTTATTATTATCTTTTATGAAAATAATTTAAGTTTTGATCATACTGGAGTGGTTAGTTTAGAGGGAGTAGGCTTAAACTTATGATTGGAAAAACTTTCTCGTGTTAGATTTCTGAATCTTAAGGATAAAGCGCAAGAAAATGTCTCTCTTTTAGAGTTGATCGGCAAATAATTGAAACCATAGGTCTCTCGGATACTCAGGTCAGTGTTTTTCACTGACATTCACATTCCTTACCACTAGGTCGTATGATATTGTGTAGAGGGGTGAGGAAATGTCCAATCAGTGAGTTGACTTCGCCAGACAACTCTCCTGTTGTTAAGCTAACAAGGCATTTGCTGAGCGAGGTTAATAAAAGTAACATACTTCTTCTGCATTTTGATAGACTTATTCAACATTGAACTAAGACGATGCTAAAATTTACCTTGAAAGGCTGACAGAGGTGGGAAAATATTGTTGGAATCAGACCATCCTGTGCCATAGCATAACTAATTCTTGGAGCAGCTACTAAAGAGGATAACAGACAGGCGATTAATCCAATTAGGGATCCAACACCGACAAAATAAAACATTCCAACGCGTACATTTTCTGGTCCACCATTGAGTATGTTACCTTTTAATGCGCTCAAAAATGAACTTTCAGTACTAATTAAAAACCAGGGATAATACATTGCCAATGACAAAGAAGACACCGTAGTTACCAGCGCCACAATGAAAACGGCGATAATATTTGCTCTAGGTAGGCTGTAACTAGGGTTTTTGGTTTCTTCAGCGCATGTTGATATTGCATCGAACCCGATGAAAACATTGAAACAAATGGCGGTCCCACCTATTAACCCTGGAATTCCATAGGGTAAAAATTTTGGATTTGGAGACAGTGGATCAACAGTAACATTAGGAGCGGTGACTGATAAGTATTCTGTCTTGCTGTATACAAACATGTAGATGGAAGTAACTGTCAATACACCAACGTTTATAAAGATTGAAACAGCTGTTACTTTTGCACTTCCACGGATTCCACAACATGATATAGCTGATAAGATGATAGTCATTAATACACCAACAAAGTCATAATATTCAGCCAATATTCCCCCGGAGGAGATAATCTGCCAAAGTAAAAAATAAACAGACGTTCGATGAAAATGTCTTAATAAAAAAAGGACTTTTATTGTTAGCTTGACAAGTTCAGTATAAGAGTCTCTGTGTCTAGAAATGCTCTTTACTTCAGACCTAAGGTGTTTTTTTAGAAGTAAACTCACAGATTGTACAAGCAAAATGAAGCTTGGAAACAATAAGTTTCTCTTGAGTTAATTTATCACAGGTCACAGCGCGTTAACACATTCTGCAGATCTTTTTCAATCTTCAATAACTAGTTTGCATTATTAGTCTGGTCGAACTTCCAGATTTACAGTTATGAAATAACCACAAAAGTATTTCAAGTTGAAGCAGGAAATGCAAAATGTACTCAACCTGCAACTGTCAAAGGATTTTATGACTTTCGGTAAAAAAAATGTAATCTATGCCACTCCTGGTAAGATGTATCAAGCAAAAGGTGAAGCTTTCAAAACAGTAAATATGTTAACAGAAGGTAAGAACAGGTGTTTACACTCAAAATTGCTAATCGAATTTCCCAACAATCACACATAATTTCTCCAGTTTACCAAAAACTCATACATAACAGTGGTAGGCAGGTGGATTCACGATGCGTATCTCAAAATATTTGTAACCTCTTGGACAGGTGTAATTACATTTTAGTGAGTATCACTGTTCTGACTACTGCCCCCAACAAGAGCAGTTTAAGCACTAGGCAGATAAAATATGAAACTGCCTACCAAACTAATAGATTTTGATTGTTTTCAGGTTATCAGACCCGCTGAACTTTTTGTAGCTAATCATCGGTGTCTTCGTAGCATTGTCTGAGTTTGGTGGGATTCCTACATGAGCAGTGTTGAGGTCAAGTAGAAGGTACTAAGCAAGATAGGCGAGTCAGTTGATGAGGTTGTGAACCTTAGTTGACTGAAATGATTTGGACATATACTGAGCATACTAATCCTCTGCCTACCTTGATGAGCCATGATGAGGGAAGCTGGATTAGGTTGGAAGAGGGTTCAGGGGGGTCGGATCAAGACGTGGCACCAGTTGATGAAGTCCTTGACTATTGGAGAGATAATCTTTGCGTACTACTGTGAAGTATGGAAACTTGAGACCATGCACTTGTGTGCAAGGTTCTACATTGATTCTGTCTATCTGTCTTTGTAGCTAATCTCGTATGTTTGTGGGACTAGTAAAAACCAGAAAGCTAGAATTTAGATTTTATGAGCGTTACCATATTTAAGTATTAACTGTATGGTGAATCCACCTAGTGAAAAGCATTAATGACTATCAACAAATAAAAAGACGTTGGTTTTATTGTAGAAAATAAATTACACACTTTTGAAGTTTTACAAGAAGAACGAATCCATGACAGTCAAACAGATGTCTTTGAGGAACCGATTCGAATTTTAAAGGTATGATTTAATGACGAGAGTAGTGGAGACTTTTGGTTCTAGATTAAAGGGTTAGTTGAGTGGTGTTTTCTGAGATTTTGTATTTAACAATAGACGTTTCACAACAATAAGTTATATGACAGTTCACACAGTATTTCGATTACTTTTGAGATCTATTAAGTTGAGAGTAGCATAATAATCTTGTTAAGTATGAAATCTTATTGTCTCATTGTATTACAGAAACCATACTGGCCTGAAAGTGTGATCTGCATCGTTGATGTGATTGTCGAATCGTTTGCTAAATTTTCAGTTTGTTGGAAAAATGACTGTTTTTTTTCAGGTAGGTTGTAGATAGAGATTGTGTCTATTTGCTTTCTGTATGTAATTTCTTTGCGATCTTATGCTTTTAGAAATCCTCTTGAAGCTTTTCAGTTGTTGTGTTGTAGGCTTTCTGAATTCATCGAAGTAAAGGTTGCAGTGTAACTATCTCCTTCCAGATATCTGTTTTTTTAAGTGTAAAACCCAGCTTTGAAGGAATTTGAAGAATCTGTTCAATCTTTTCATTCAACAACTATTAGTGAAGGATTTCGATTTTATTTCTTTAAAAACTTTAAGATACTGTTCGTTCATCAGTGTGTTTTACTTTGTTAGGTCGTAGCAAATGATTACAACAGTCCTTAGGTATTCAGAATTATCTGTCGAGCCTAGCAGAATCTAAAGAACATCATGGGCTGCTTCTAATTGCTCGCATTATTCTATGATAACATTTTTCAGTTTCTGACATTTTTCTATAAAAGATCATAACTTGTGTTCTTGTTAAAGTGGTTCTTAATGAAAATCCCGTTGACATCATAATAAAATAGATAAATAAGCTATTCATCCATTAGTTTCATAGTGTTTGTAAATAATTAGGCTGGAGGCCTTGTTTGATTCATGTTTTGTGCTTGTCAGTACTCGTCAGCAAGGCATGTCTGCCATCTCTGTTGTGCCTTAGTGACGAGTGCTAGCAAGCATGGTTTCTTTTTGATTACCTCCAACTAACTGACATCAATCAAAATGCACCTTTATGACGAGTCTTCCATAGTGATGACCGTATTGAAAAATGTTCGAAAGTATTCGGTCAGGAGTTAGGACTACACCAATCGGGATTGGTTACTGTTTAATGAACAGCCAATATAATTTGAGTATTATCCATGCGTTTTATTATCGACTGAGTATTGTAACACTTTTTTATCTGATGATATCAAGTATTTGATCAAAACTACTTGAATCAGGGATCAGTTGTCAGTACTATGGGTGAGTGAACTATTTTCTTAAAAGCAGTGAAATATTCAAAACTTCAGAAAGTAAAATGTTATGTAAACTTAACAGTTCACATATATATAGCAACATGAAAGAAAGATTCCATCTTGATTTTTTTGATGGGTATCCTACACAGCAAGACCTAGTGTTCTTAGGTTCAATTAGTGACAGTGTCATGGGTGCACACTGCTGAGAGTCCCTAACTAGGAAAAAACAACTGTCCAGTGTTTTTAGGTTTTCAGTGGTTTTCCAACTGATTTCACTCCATGATAGAAGCTTCTTTGAAATCAGTAAACCCCTGAAACCTCCAAATTTAAAGGTAGACTATCCTAGTAGGCTAAAAGATAGTTCACATTTGCTGTCACTCTGTCTTGAGTAGTAGTGGAGACTATAGATAACCAGTTCCAGGGGATAATTATTTTGACAATGACATCCTTGTCTATAAGACCTATAGTAAGTGTTATTTGCTGATTGTACCTGTCGCCAGTAAAAGATACTACTGGACAAGTTAAGTAGTTGGAAACAGCTCGCACCTATCCAAGGATTTTTGTAGCCATTTCAGAGTAACACAGACGCTAGACTATCGTTCTTCTCATATGAGACCAAGTTTATCAGTGGTGGTGGATCCCAGCGGAAATCCTACGATTGAAATACTACTCGCTTATGAGTAATGTTAACGCGAAATATGTAATTTGCACGTAGTTTTTCAATCAACCATCGTTTTAAGAGATTTTGGTCATTTTCGACTACGATGTCACTTTTGACTTTCGAATTGAGGTGAAGCGGTTGAAAAAGCCGAAGTATAGTTCATTTCACAAGGACCTGTATCTTTAGAATGATTGTGGAAAGCACTTTACAGCCTTTGCAGATGTAATGTCATTGAGAGTAGTTTAGTAGCAAGCAGTTTACTGAAAAGCACTGGTTTAAAGTTGGTTAAACGTAACTAGGCCTTGTTAAGTGCATATCTTCATTGAATGAGACCCAAACCTGTCAGTGGCATGCTTTTATTTCATAAATTTTATTACTTTTTGACTACTCGAAGCTACTGTTTCTGCTATATTTTACTGTTATATCCTGTAGCAGTGAATTCGTTGTAGCTCAGCTCCACGTTCATACTATGTGGTAGTCAAATCAATATCACACACTTGCCATATTTTACACCCTTCCATTCTGTTTCACAGTTTGCTTGAGTAATACCAGAAGCATCCTGTTGCCAGTCGTCAGCAGGGCATATATGCCACCTTTAGGGAACTGATATTCCTTGAGAGATTCAAACCTGCATCATCCAGTGCTACAGTCAGGGACGTTAACACTGAGCTACTTTGGCTGCGATTGACCTCCTATTCACCGTAAAATTTGCAGCTCGAGGGTTCATCTCCTCAAAGAATTAGACGTAGACCCTGTTGATGCCTAAGCAGCCCAACAGTAGTCTATGGCTTCTAGCGTCTCATCAACAGTTTACAGTTTTAATTAAAATATTTCGAAACCGCTTAATCCTCCAAAAGCCAAATAAGGGAATAAAAAATGTCTTTGAATAGAATAAAATGAGTTAAGTTTGTATTGTACGGATGAAACTTACCTACCAACACTTTCTATTGTCCACCTACTTATGTGATTATCAGCAAGACTGTCAAGCATGCTGCTCCAACAGCGTGCCACAAGCGATATACCCAGTATGTACTCCAGTAATATTGACCATCCTGTTATGAATGCGGGAAATTCACCCATTATGATATATGTATATGTGTAGGATGATCCAGCCTTAACGAAATCAAAAGTTGGTAAGGTTTTCAAGAAAATATTTGCGCAAAAATAAGACACAATAAACGTTATCATTTGTATAATTAGACTGAGAAAATGCTGCAAGTTTCTAAGTAGACATGAAAAAGGATATAAAATATTGTCTGCATGGAAGATGACAATGTTCTAATATGTGGCATGCAATATTCGAAATCAAGATTGCAACTATTTGGTTATTTCGAAAACTGTTTGTTTTTTTGGGGTTACATGTGTCGAAGCGCCAGTGAAGGTAAGGAAGCACGGAAAAACTATTTCGTATGGTCTTGTTCCTCCTCAGCACAAGTATTTTTCAACTGGAAGAAAGTAATCTGGTCATAGCATTTTGAAAGAGAACACTGTGATTATTTCTAAGGACTTTTAAACTGGTTTTAGATAATTAGACATTTCTTCTTTCTCTATGACTTGCTTTCTTCACCTCTATTCGGTTTCTGAGTAAGGTCACTAAATGATGATTCACTTTCCGATGGACTCTTCAGCTAATGGTTAGCAACCAAATAATTTCTTATTTGGCACTAAACGATGTCGATGTCTTAACAATTTGATGCTTAAATCTTCTGGACGTTACACTTATTTTAGCTTCAGACGTGACCAGAACTTGTGCAGATTGCTACAGTTCCATGACTCCTGTTTCACTGATGTGTTTATAATGGAGAAAGTATCAGGTATGCTTTATCTTGCTTTGTTTTTTATTCTCTTTCCTGAAACTTCCACATCTTTTTAATCTAGATCTTTTTTCAGTTTACCAATATAAGGAAACTGTGAGCTTGCAGCAAAACTCAACCTCTTCTTTTACATTTTATTAACTCTTGTGTTTTGCTTGCTCTTCTTTATTGTTTCCGCTGGCAAAGAGTATTTGTAAGGCTCTTGGGAAAAGACAGTAATGTTTCACCTAGGACATTAAAAAAATATCAGGAGTATCTATGGTGCTCTTCTAACACTTCTTCTGTACACTGTTGCCGATAGAAATTGTAATTCATTAAAAAAACGATAAGGTGACGGAAACCCTCATTAATGACCATTTTTTCTTGTCTTTCTTCAACTAAGACAAAGAGGAAATCAATAAAAAGCCTTGTTCACTTGTTATTGAATACTAAAACTATCATACCTCATTAAGCTGGTGCTCTATGTTAATAAGGTGTCAGAAAGAAACTAACTAATCCACTTCTACATAACAAATGAATTGATGGTTATACTTTTTGCCATAACCTAGTTATTGTTATCGCAACTATTGATGATAACTACTTCTTTTAAGGTTAATGAAGATTTTATTTTTATTTATAGGGTAGTATTCATCATAAAGTGACTTCAGTTGGAGAATCAGTGAAAACCTGGGAGCACTGGATATCCTTTTCGTCCCAATGTGGAAATTCTCAACAGTATGCACTCATGACCACGCCAGGTATTGAGAAGCCATGACTTTTGGGGTCAGTCAGTTAGAAGTGAACTGGATGCTTAATTTAGAACTTCGATGGTAAATGGTTTATATCGTGAAGTGGCAGAAGCAGAAGACTGTGGACTGTTGAACTCTGACCCAGCGGGTGAGTGTTAAATGCGTTCAACGTGAAACAGAGAGTTCAGAGTTCGGTCCCTGGTGGGGTTGAGGGTACATGCTGCTGAGAAGTCCTATACTAGGACGAAACAACTGTCCAGTTGCCCAAGGATTCTGTAATGGTTCTCTAACTGACGTCAGTCTGATGGATACCATCTTAAAAATTTGTTTTTACATTTCAGATGGTTGTAGGTGGAGTGAGTTATGTTTGTTGGGTTTCTATGTTGTTAATGCAATATTGCATACTAAAATTTCTGGATTTTCTTATCGAAATATTATTCAAAATAAACCTCCGATAATAATAATTACCATTATTCTTGGATTAAATGGAGATTTTTATTGTTGTTAGCTGATAAAGAAAATAAGTTTTAGCGTCAAAAGATCCATAGTTACGTAGATCAATTGAAAAAAGCAACTAAATTCTGTAGTCTATTTATGTGTAAACACCCTGGTAATATAGCAAAATGTTAAGTCTAATGAACTCAAAAATCTAACTCATTTTGAAGTCTTGGTTGTATTATGTTCTCTTAGCTGGGTTGCTTAGTCGTGGAGCTTTCATCATCTTGCTAGAAGACTAAACAACTTAGTTAAGAGAACACAATACAACCAAAACCATCCACCTGAGCTACAAATATTCTCCATCATTTTGAAGTTCTACTATACCTTGTATTGGTAGCCTTTTGATTTCTGAAACAATCCATATATTCTTATGTAAAATTGAAAACAGAATTCAGTCTGTATAGGCGAAACCATGTCAAAAATTGGTTATGTTAGACCGAAATTTAGGCACTGTGGTGTAGAGTTTAGTTTCACATCAAATAAGTTTATTTGATTTAGTACTGTGTCATTGTGTGGTATCAATAAGAAACAACTCTTATATTAGAGATTTAAATTCAAATTAATTTAAACAGAAATATTTTGGAGAAATTTCGCAGTTAAACGATATAATCTCTGTCTCACCTGGGTTTCAGACGTATAGGCACTAGTTAGATAAGTATGTTTGCGAAATCGATGGAATTGCCCTTTCTGAGGAATAAAAACCCACGTCACCTAGTACTGCATTCAGAGATGTTACCACTAAAGTAATCATGCCTTGACTGATTCTCTACAAGACTGGATAATACACTTTGATTGACCATTATTGTCTTTTCAGACAATGTCAGACTTGAACACTGAAGTTTTTCGCTTTCAGAGAGCTTTGCGTCTACATTGAGGAGGAGAGTCATAGTATCTTTAGCCACACACTGATCAGACCTTCAAGTACAATGGCAACAATCCGACAAAGCCCAAAATTAGTCGTGTGTAGACTATAATCAAGAAAGCAAGAATACACTGCAATATGATAATTTCCCGGAGAAAGGAAGAAGAAAATAACTTGATTTTTGTCCTAAAGTAGAACAGTTACCCACAAAACTTCGTCAGATGATGCCTATCCTGTTCATCATCACCCGTAGTGTCATCCACGGAAATCTACGATAGGACAATGCTGCGTTACTGAAACCGTTTGGAATTGGTGTGGTTCAAAAACCAGCAAATCTCCTTCAAATCATATTGTATAGACCAAAGGTCAAAACAGCCAAAGAAGACAAACCGAAGAATGTTTACAGAATCAGCTGCTACAATTACAATCAGCATTACAACAAGCAGTATGGAGGCCCTCTTCACCTTCGTTTACACGAACGTCAGTTGGCCATTAAATATCACGACGCTTCATCAAATATGGACGATTATGGGCATGGACTTAACCTTGAAAATGTAAAGATCTTGGACAGAGGAAAAAAGGAATATAGGAGAATTCCAAAAGTCTTGACATTCTTGTCGGTCAGTACTCAATAAATGTACTGACACAGAATCAATCTATCACCCAATCAGAGAAATGATGAACAATTACAAAGTAAAAGGTCAGGCAGAGAAACAACCAACAGAAAAACGTATGGAGTCTGTGATACAACAATCTAATGAAACAACCAGTCGCAAACTATTGGATCACTGACGGGAAAATGCTGGTAGCTCACCTCAGATTAAAGTTAGTGTTGGTGTAGTCTAGAAGAACAGTGATAGCTTTACTATTAGGCTCACAGAAAGTAATACACCCAAGAGTAACTTTTTATATTGTATGGTCCTGCAACCTCGATGAAACAGATTTCTTTTTCGAGAACAGAAACTTAATGAAAGAAAGCTGTCTACTGATTACCTCTAACTTATTTCTACTAGGATGCAATGCGACGTCAAGTCTTGTAACCACAATCCAATTTTGATGGGCAGATTTAAGTGCTGAGTCAGAACCAGATAACTTTACGTTGGTCATGCTTTGGCTATTTATCAGTATTTTTTTAACAGTATAATCTAGGCAGACAGTTTAAATTAGTTGTATCGTTTTGAAGCATAACTAAGTTTAACTGATTCTATCTCTTTCATGGTACTCATAGAAGATCCATTTCTGATATGAACTGATAAGGTTGCATTGTGACTGAATGGATGACAATAATGATAATTGGTTCGCTATTTACGTGTGATAGAATGACTTTAAAGACCACCAAATTTGATTTATTTATTTTACAAAAAAAACTGTTTTAACTAAAATTTAGGATGTAATTGATTATCTGTGTAGTTAGAGTACCCCGAAATAAAAGTCGTTGAGTAGCCTTATAGGTTATCCTAGAAAAGCTAACCTATTGGCTAGAAAGTGTGAAAATACACATGCGATTGACATCGTTTGACTCTGACATCTAATGAAATAAAAAGGTTGAGTTTTTTTCCAAAAGACTACCTTGCCAGCTAAAATAATGGAGCTAGTTAGTTACTTTGGTGGCTGTTATGTAGCGCATTCGAAAACTAACCAACTCAGTTTCTAGTTTTCACTTCCTGATTGTCATATATTTTGGGTGTTTATCGAATTACGTTCATTATCAAACGCAGTTTCATTCTTTTGAGTCTACTGAGTCATCAGTTCACTGTTTACGCTTTTTTTTTTATCCCAAATTATTGTCAAGAATCGCCATCAAATCCTTGTAAGCCGTTCAATTTTCCACCCTTAAAAAAAAATCCCTACAGGCTACAGAAAAGCCTGCCAAAAGCCGGTTTTTACAGCTACAGTGCCAAAGTATTGATATGTTATTGGTTGTTTCATCTAAAATATACCCAGTGCCACAGCTTGAACTTCAGTTCTAACTGATGTGGTAAAGCACTTACAAGGGAGTTTAATAGCCACTCATGAAACTACTGAGATTATCCAACGGATCAGAAAAAATAAATCATTTAAATCATTGTTTGGTGGGGTGGTCTTTAGAGTCACTAATAATTAATCACGACAGTCTTCTTTAAGAAAGCTTTGAATCCACTCCACCAGAATCATATTAGAAAGAAGATGAAGAGCCACTTTAAAGGCTATCCTGCAACTGATGAAACAATC